CGAACTGAGAGTTCCCTCGGGACGATGGAAGTCGGTAGACACCTATTTCTCTAAGAAAATCGTGGTTCTTCTTAAAATCTTTTCCGAAACAAAACGTGGACTTTTCTTCACTGAACGCAAACGCAAGATGAACTTCACTACGCATGCGCTATCTCACGGGATCTCGAATATGCAAATGAGGAGGTAGAATACCCATGGCATAACCCAAGAAATATTCCTGAAGCAAGCATACATGCGTGACACTGACGCAAAATATACATATATATATATTGCTAATGGCTTTATCAATAGGTGTCAATCAGACGGTCACAATGCGTCACAAGACGAAAACGCAATTTCACTTCAGGTTCACATCGGTGCAATCCAATGAGATTTTAGGTTATTTGTTTCCGTGTGGGCTGGAATTTAGGATTTGAACCGTTGAATGCTGCTATCTTTATTATTTATAGCTACTCTTTCCTTGCATCTAGGAGTAATATGCTGAATGAAACCATACTTGCAGCAAAAGACCACTTGGAAAAAATATAGAAAATTGGATTGCATTGAGTCCCGTCGTCTTGTCCTGTCGTTTTACTTGTAATACTTCCAAGGTTTGCTGATTGAAACTTCTTGGACAAACTCTTTAAATACAAGGGTATTATCATTCCCTGTTAATCAAGAAAGAAATGGGTAGTCAAAGAGGAATCGTTATGGTATATTCAATAATAACCTGGTCTTTAGTTGTGTTTCTTGCTTGTAGCACAGAAGGCGATGGACATTATGGTAAGTTTGATAATATTTTGTTTTCGGGAGAACATTTTGATTTTACAATTGCATAGGATTATTTTAGAGAACTTATATTATTTATTTTGTAAGATGGTGTGATTTAAGAGTAACATATTTGAGGTTGTGCAAGGTCGTGTCGACATCTCTGTCAACACCGTGCTCTCCAAGTCAAGTTATATATTCACTAATCCCTTTTTAGCACATAAGTGTTTGCCGCACGGAACCCATGAACAAATATTGTACGCGCATTGGCACATTTTCATATTCTCTATGTAATATCTAAAACCTTGATCTGAAATAATATTCAAATTCAACACGTATTGGAAGGTATCCAGTAGTGCATCTCTGCTTAATGATATGATAAAAATGCAATAACCGTGGGTGAAGACAAAGCAACACTATAAAATATTCTTTACAAATAAATATTTACTTCTTCGTTATCTTTCGAAAAGTTCTAAATTTTTCTAAAGCTAAATTCTGAAGAAAGTTTCGCAGATCGATGAAATGAGGTTAAGTTCTACAATGCTTAAATCAGTAACACTAAATATGACGTTTGATCTATAGTGACAATTACGACCACCTCTGCATATCTAATTTGCACTGAACCGTTTTATAAATTTATCTCTCATAAAACATGCATTAGAAAATTTAAAGCTTCAAGCCACTTAAAAAGAAGCTTTTGGTAAACTTATTTTTCCAAGAGGCTCACTGATGTTTCAGAGGTTTCTGGAAAAAATGAGCCATTCAAGTTTCATTTTCTTGTTCTTGAATATGAGTCATTAGTTTGCCATACAGGAATCGGTCGATTTTTATCATTATATTAGATTGTAAGCTCACTTATATTGCTTGGTACCTCGATCAGGCTGAAGAAAAAAATTAAAGAAATTTTTTTCTAAGTGAAATTCAATTTTAGAAAAGTAATATTCACTTCAGTTGAGATATCTTTTAATAAAACGTTCGTTTTCGGATTCACTTTCGAGTGAAAGTATACTACTGTCAACGAATTGTCAAAAGGCTTTTGTGATGTCCTTCAGGCTTTCAAGTGTCACGACTCAGGCATATCGGAAAATATACATAGGTTTTTTCTAATAATTACACAAAACATCTTATAATATAATCCGAAATTTCTTTCCTACAAACAAGCAAGCATGAAAAATAACTGTTGTCGCATATTGGGCATTCTCGTCAAAATGCCTTTAAAATATGCAAATGTATAAATTATAAAAGTTATATTAATATTGAGTCCAACATTTTCTTAACAAACAAACAATGCCCTTTTTCCTGCAGGTGGCCATCTATTCATGTCATTATTTTTATGTTGTTTTGATAAACATATCATGTTTAATATTATCCCAATATTCTGCATGGTTACCGAATGTTTCGTAACGGTTGTGTTTCTCTGGAATTTTCTTTGGGTGCGTGGGATTTGATTAGAATAATATTTTACTTGCAAGTTTTGACACAGATTCGTGGACGACATGGCCGCCATGTTGGACGAATTTGATTCGACTCGTCTGTCAAAATCCAGCCTCCAACTAGGCTGCGTTTGTAGGCGGTCTGAGAGCTACTGGTTGCGCGAAGATGAGAAGGGGAGGGTTGAGTTAGAAAGGTCTCCCTCCCTCTCTACTTCGCAACACTGCAGACCGCCGAGCAAAGCAAGCTAGTCAAAGGCCTATTTCAGAGACTTCACGCACAAAGGTTTCAGTACGAGGCTACGTGCTCAATTAAGTTCATTCTATTCTCTTGTCAGGAATCGCTGAGCATTATACACGTAGCTTCACATTGAAACATTTGTGTGTGACAAGTAAAACATATCTCCGAAGGAGGCTATTTATCGTTTGCTATTTTTAAAACTGTAAGTTGAATGCGAGGCTAACATGGAAATATAAAAGAAATGCCACCAATTCCATCCATAAATCTGATTTCTTTTGTATTTCTATGTGATCCTCGCATCCACGATACTTTTGAGAAGGGTAATTAGATTAACAAGTAAAGGTTATTTGATACTGATTTTTGTCCTCGCATCAGTTTCTCAAAATATCTCAGGAGATAAGTATTTTCATGTCGGTTGCTATAAAGAAGATATCAGTGGAAGAGCCTTGCCTGTCCTACTGGCTAATTACAGCCAAAGTGACCAAAGTAACATCAATAAAGTCGACAACTGTGCTAATGAAGCAGGTTTAAGGGGATACCAAGCATTCGGTGTGCAGAACAATGGTGAATGCTGGACAGGGACAGACGCCATCTTTGTTTATGCCAAATATGGTAACGATAGCAGTTGTTCGAATGGTGTTGGTGGAGTGAAGGCTAATGATGTGTACTTCTTGTCGTGTGAGTTTCTCTCCTTTTCAGAAAATAACACATAATAACTAGGTTAGTGATCAGTGAAGAAAGCCAGCAGATCAGTTTTAATGATTGCTTATTGGTCAACTCATTAACAAGTTCTTGACAAGTATACTTTTCCTCAACTCTCAGTTAAGGTTTTGCATGAAGGCTGCTTTATTGAAGTTCTCGCCGATAAGGCCATGCCAGTCCTTGTAGCTAATAAAATCCCAAACGATCGTGATCCTGTGCAGAGCTGTGCAAGAGCCGCTTGGAAAAAGGGACTCACTAAGGTCTTCGGTCTACGGAACGGTGGGAAATGTTGGTCTGGAAACAACGCTGATTCTACTTATAACAAACATGGTGTTGCTACTGGAGCATGTGGGTCAGGCGGCGGACACTTGAAAATAGATGTCTGGCGATTCGATAGTAAGTTCACGGGTAAATCTAAACATTAGATCTTACCTTAAAAATTCATGAGGCATTCTCTAAATAGTGTACATGAGAAAGTTATACAAATTCTTTCTGAAAATCGCATGATTGGTGTTCCGTGAGCCTGTGAACTTAAACCATGTTTCTTTCAAAAACCTCATTGCTAATAAAACCCTTGATTGAGACATCCCGCTCTTTGCTTGCTTTCACCGTAACGAAATTAAAGGTTTGCAGTGTCGGATGATGAATTACCAAAAAATGTTTTTTAGTTTACTGTTTATCGCGCGTGCAGAATTAGGAATCACTGAGTCAATTGTTCGAAGGCAAAATCATATGAGAAAGCAAAAAATATCTATAGAATATATTTGTAATGGGGATAATTGCAAAGCAAAGCGAAGCAGCATGCACGAATCTTAGGCATCTGGTTTGGATTTATTCCTTCTACAGTGAGTGTTCCTACAACATCTGTACCTCAAGCAACACTAACACCAACAGTGATAACACCAACAACACAAGGAGAAAGTAAGAAAACAGACCATGCTGGTCTTGGGTAGAATATTTGCCACAGCTAATCCAAAAAGGTTGTCTATTTATGAATACTGCATCATTCGTTTGAGGTTCCAGTTTCTAGAACAAGTTATGCTGTCGATTTTTCATTTACTATTATTTCCATTCGTTGCAAAAAAAGCTTTCTTTCATATTAAAATGAGAAGCACGGTACCAAGTATACAGTATTCATAGTTCATAAATGACAGAACCTTTTTGCAAAGTAAACTTACTTTAAGGTGCAGACACAGGGTGAGATATTGCGCGCAATATTGCAGGCAGTGCTGGTGAGTGTGATCGATTGCCTGCAACATGAGATTGCGCTCGATGTTGCACCGTGTGTCTGTAGCTTTATATATTGACTTCAGTCCTATATTTCCTAAGATAGCTTCCACGCACCTTGTAGAATGGCGCTTTGATGGCAGTAGTGCATGCTGTAGGTCACTACTGAGGAACAAGCAATATTTCTGAATATGAGTATTTTTTTCCAAAGCAAATTATACCATAGCTATATCTAGGGTTGGACTGATCTGGAATGATGTATTCACATTTTCTATTGTAACTCTAGAGTTTTCTGGTTCGGCAAATTTGAGAATGCTTCTATATAATTTAAATATGAAATAAGGATTCGTGATCCGACAAGTTAAAATCCGATTTCATCCAATAACATGTAGTTCTTCAACGATCAATTGTTAGGATTTTGTGCCTTATCATGGTTTCCTCATATACCAAGTCAGTTTGATCATGCACTCAAAGTCTGAGCGTCCATTAGAGATTATATAGCGACCATGGGAATCAGTTAAACAAAGGAATCCGACGTCACTGTGATAAAATAAATTGATAAAAATAGGCAAAACGCTATAAACAAAATACATCAAAATATGATTAAAATATATTAATGATAACAATCAATATAAAATAATCTAAAATTTGAGTTATGAAAGCAAGGTATAATCAGAAAGTAAGTTTCAAAGACTTTACTGAAAATAAATATTGATTATCAAAAAATACTGCTTTCAAAATAAAAATATAAAAGCATATAAATACAGATACATATAAAAGCGGTTCCTTGAGGTGGATGGTTGTGATGTATCGATATGTTTGGTTCTTGGTGGTGGTGACGTGTTGTATGTTTATCACAACGTATTAGCAATATATATAGTATTAGAACATACTAGTAAAGATCTGGACAACCGTCTTGACTTTCTGTTCAGTCGCACCCGGATATCACCCTCTTGGATGCTACAGACAAGAAGAAGAAACCGGCTTTGTATCTTCTTTGCGTCTCCCTGGTGGAGTCACAAAAGTAAAAAACAGCACAATGGAAATTCAAAAATGTGCTAGGGAAGCAGAAAAGTCAGGCTATAGAACATTCGGTGTCAAAGAATACGCAGAATGCTTTGGATTGAGCAGCGTCTTCATCGACCAATTTTTAAAGAAAGAAAATGACTGTAAAGATGGTATGGGTAGGAAGAACAGTTATTTTGTCTACATCTTCAATAGTAAGTTCAACGATTAGTTATTATTATTATTGCAAAGATGAGAATATGTGGACCGCATAGCACTTATGAAATACGTGAAGATATAGAAATATAGATAAGTTATAGTGCTTGGGAACGAGGTTATTCCGGACGAAAGACCCTTGGAATTAAATTCGGAAAAATTAATTTCCGACCTCGCTGGGAATCGAACCCACGACCTTTGGAATTGTACTACTGATGCTCTACCAGCTGAGCTAGAGGTCAGACTGAGAGCAGGCCGGGGTGAAATAGATTTTAGGTAGCGGCAATTATGATGCAAAGATGAGAATATGTGGACCCCATAGCACTTATGAAATACGTGAAGATATAGAAACATAGATAAGTTATAGTGCTTGGGAACGAGGTTATTCCGGGCAAAAGCCCTTGGAATTAAATTCGGAAAAATTAATTTCCGACCTCGCTGGGAATCGAACCCACGACCTTCGGAATTGTACTACCGATGCTCTACCAACTGAGCTAGTGGTCAGACTGAGATATATGAGGTTCGTTGGCTGGAAATGTGCTTGACTATCAATTGCCCTGGCTTCTTCAGTAACTAAAGACTCGACTTTCTAATGATACTGTCCACACCTTATCACTTTCTATGCATCGCTTTGGATACTAATACTAATTATAGAATCATAGACATCGCTGGAATATTCTAACATTTGCATATAATTTTTAGAAGAGCAGCTTCGTAGTTAAATAATATTAAGATAAACGATGTAAGCTATAATTTGTACCAATTGATTTTTAGGTTAATTTTTAGGAACATTGACCTAAAGATAAGTGTATGAATTAAATTTGTACCAATCTGATGTAAGACAAAACCAGTAAGGCATAATATAAATTTCGTTTATGAGTAGCTGGCAATCCGCTCCTTCGAGTATGGCGACCATACTCATAATACTGAGTCACATGATCATTGCCGCCATATTGGATAGCAAACGCAAATATTATTGCACCAATCTTCATTTGGAATTGGTAATCTTTTTAAGTTAACGTTTTCCATCCTATATAAATGGCGCCATTGATCACGTGATCTGTTATCAAAATGTTTTAAGACTTTATTGTTTATTGTTAATTGTTAGTCGTCGTTTCATGAATTGGACTTTAATAAAAAGTCCATAAATCTTCCAGGATTTATGAAAACAACTAATACACCATCAGCACCTCGGAGAACAGGAACTCGGACGAAAGTACACGACCCAAACACACTTAGCACACAAGCACCTCCAGCAACACTTCGAAACAAAACGCCTCCAAAAGCTTCGTCACAAAAATCAACATTCATACGTAGAACTACTACACTGCGGCCAACAACATCTCGGGAAGCGAAAACACGACCTACATCTTGGGAAACGACAACGTTGAAAACTGCATCACAAACTTCATCAACTGTGTTACGTAGAACCACAGCATTGTGGCCAACAACATCTTTGAAAGAAAAAACACGACC